ACTTCATTACATTGCCAAATATTAGGCAAAATACCTAAATCGTTAATTAACCGTGAACTTGACAATATAAGCTTATATTTAGCATTATAACAAGGTGTGAGTGTCATTCAACAAACTAACAGAAAGTGTTGCACCCGAGAAATTTCGTTTTGCGATGGACGCGAATTAGTCAAATAGACAGAAATAATGTTTGAAATATTAGAAGGCGTCAGTCTTATGTTTCCTTCTGCGTGTTATTTGTTTGCTTGTGGATACATTTCGTATCTCGGAGATGTTTTGTTGTATGAGATAGATGTTTGCTTTTCCTGCAAGAAACTGTTCAGCCAGAACGCGAAAGATAACCTGTCGCATTGAGCCACCTCAGCCTGCATATATCAGTTTACTTGCTCTTTTGGAGCTGAGTTCATCGACCGTACTATGTGCCGACTTGAAAAACGCGCTCGTGAACTCTATCTAGCCTGGCTAGTAAAAGGAGACCAAAACGGTGTATATAGTTCAGTGACAGAATATCTAATCAGTCAAGGACATTCAGCACCTTTCGAAAAATCCCTCAAAGTAAAAAAGAAGATTCAATCAAACCTATCAAAGGGAGTGAAATTAAGACATCTGAGCATAGCCGAGGCACTGGCTATCCAAACGTTCAAATCTACGCTTTGTATCAAAACGAAATACGCTGCTGCCATCTTGGGCAGGGGGTGCATTCAGCTGTTCCAAGGAGGAAACTAACCATTGTTCTACTCCACTAAATTATCACTGACTTATGGTGGGAAGCGAAGCTTCATTAAATACAGGTGTTTCCCAACCTTGTCAATTAGCTTCTGGACTTATTTGAACCTCTTTAAGAGAGAAGGATTAGAAAACTTTCTGCTTCGTAATTATTCACTGATTAAGATGTCACATCCTTTGATCATCAGACTGAATTAACTGAAGTATATCATATACCTCAGTAATAGCCTATTATTGAGTAGCCATTGTTAATGTGCAGTTTCTCTAGTTGACGCATACATATATATTATTCCCGTCCATGGTTCCCTTCACCAGTCAGTATCTTATGTTCTATCTGTATGCTGATTTTGATTTTGCAGTCTCGTAATGGTTTTACTTCAGAAAGCTCTCAGGTGATGTGTGCATGATTATGCATGAGGCCGTGCAACCTTCTGTTTAAACATGAATAAACCAAAACACGTTTTTTTGTCATTGATCCAAATGTAATCCTGAGGAACTACATAATTATATTTTTCAAACTGAAGGAAATAGGGACTGAAATAGGACCGTGTTAAGGACACAGGTCTCATGATACTCTTTCTCACCAGTATGAATTCAAACATAAATCCCAAATGAAACACCAGACAAATAACTGAATTGCATTTTACATTGCATGATTTGACATAGGATTTCATGAAATCGAGCGAGGCTGAAAAACGTTTAACTGATATCAATTCTTTACAGACACGTCGTTTTTAGGGATGAATGATGCAGGTGAACACATAGTCTAAATGAACTGCCGTCAAGATTTGACAGAATGATTCTAAAATTGTTGTAATTATTTGTAATAGTAGCATTAGTATTTTGCAATGATCAAATTACAAGAATTCAACCAAAACACAGGGAGGGATGAATTTAGGAATTTGTATTTGGCGGAATTATTATTCAATTCATATAAGAAATATATTAATGATCAACAGTAAGTATTTAAACAATACAGAGATAGAAATTTTCAATCACCACAATAATATTTGGGCTCCGAGTGAGTAGTCGCAGCTCAATATTCAGAAGGAAGACAAAGCAATAAGTTCGACGTGGTGATTCAACTAAACTCTAATCTTAGACATCATAGAATTCTAGACACTAGCAGTCTGAACAGACATGAAGGTATGATGTTAGCTGATGCATAGGAAATCCTGATTAATAAATAAAAATGGATATGTATCCCTAATTAGTAATACTTGGTCAAAATTCCTGTCTGTTTATATCTCCTTATGGAGACGTTAGGAAATGTTTTATAACTGCTTACCCACACACGCATGCACACCCTATTTAAAGTGTTTACCAAAGGTAGACCAATATTTGTAAGTCTGAGGTTAAATTTTGATCACAGCTCATACAATTTTGTTTTATTATACTTGTTGATACTTGTTTTATGACTCATGATTGGACAAACAATTTAAACCAAGAGATGTTTCTTTTATATATAGACCTCTGTTATGTTAATTTCGATTAATCTCCCTGAAAAAGTTCGGACTAGATCGCCGAGCGAAACGTTGGAATTACCCATTTCAATCTCACTGAGATTTTACAAATGTAATGTTTTACAAATGAACACATAGTCATTCATTTTGGAATTCATAAACGATTTATTCTTATAAGGGACATCGGTAACGCAAATCTAATTGGAGGATTTAATGCGAAAATGGTGCTGATAATTACAAATGTGAAATGTATAGTCGCGTACAATCAACTGACTGCATGACTGTTTGAACGTAATTGTCAGCAGAATACTGGCGATGCAGTGAAAATCGGAAGACAAGTCATGGCATAGACAACTGTTGTATATCTCATATTACGGCGTTCGCGAAAATCACTGCTACCTACAAGAAACAGAACAACATGAGGATGGAATCGATTGGAGTTCCAATTACTTTCGAATCAGTTAGTAAACCTGCTGTCTTAACCAAATTCAGCAATATAAGTTACTCAGTTAAATCCAGGATGCGCTCAATTCGAAATATTTTTGAAGTATACTCAGTTGTAAAGTGGAGAATGTGGAAATTACAAAATCACTGATATTTCACCATTTTTGGATTCTTGCTCATTGTTTCATTTTCTGAATTGCGAGACCACCTAATGCCAATAGAGTAGCTAAAAGAATAATATTACGCGTGTCGTGAGTGAAATATACGACTATATGAGGATGTTCACATCCCTAATTCATAGAAAATTCATCTCAAAACACAAAATATAATTTCCTAAGGTACCGGATGGAATCAAGGGTTTCAACGAGGCAGCTGTATTTTGGCCCCCAGCTGGCCACACAATTAGCATGGGCTCTCACATCATCCTTTCACGGCCTACACCATATCGCACTCAGGCCCACGTGCAACATATCGTTTTCGAATAGGATTACAGTAGTGGGATATAATTTGACAGTCGGCTTAGCTTGTGCTCTATCCACCTTCATTCCTATATTTGCGCAGCCACAGATTCCTGATTGTCTCATATCCAAGTATATTTGCTTTTCAATCACACGGAATAATAATCTGAAATGAGGATAAATGGAGCAACGAAGCAACAAATCTATTAAGAAATGTTGCCTAAGATCGTTTCGGGCTGAAAAGGAGACAAGGATGAGTTGGGCCTTGCTCCATGAAGTCTTCATTTGTTGTTTTCAGCTATGTGACGGAGTAAACGCTAACTAGCTGAATGTTACACAGTTGCCAGATAATTTTTGATACGTGTTCAGTTTTTGCTTGTCAAATTTATTTTGAACATTCGAAAAATTACTTTACTCCATGGAATTGTTTTGTTGCAATTACAGCTGGATATTTACCTCACACTGCTGTAGCACACATATGACATCTTGCTTACTAAATGTTTCTTCGTAAAATCTGTAGTTTCAGTATTTCACCTAGTCCGAGTAGGATAACATTAAAAACACAAGGAAAGTGAATTGGGATTGCATTATCACAAGACGGCGTTCATCTCTTCAGGAGACAAAACCAAATTCAGGCCTGAAGTATATTCCTCCTTAAACATTTAGGGAAGACAATGAGTTGAGCGAGAAAGTACATTCCTCTTCAACTAGTCCTTCAGCCTCGTCTCTAAATAGCTCTACATGAAAATTACACCACTGGTGTGTCTGTTTAGGTCAATGAAAGCTACCAACTCCATGTGTATGGAGGGTGAAAATAACGTATTGGGTTTCATTAAATCAGCTGACGAGTAAAACTGTCAACAAGATATCTAAGCTTCGAAAAGGTGTGGTGAATATAAATATGGAATACAAGGTTGGTTAGTTCTCAGGGCTTATCAACGGTTTATTACGTAATTGAGACATTTGTAAAATAATGATGGCTAAAACGAATAGGTTGACTCAGTGTAATCATATAAGGTACAAATAAATTAGTAGAATAAAACAGAAATGTAATCATAATAAAATAGTACAGTAAAATTGTTGTTATAAGAGGAGGCGAAAAATCAATTATTGAAACAACACATATTGTGTAGTTTGCAACAGCATTTGAATGGCTGGGAAAAATACTATCAGTGGCTTGCAAAGCTACATTTGAGTCAACTTGATGTCCAGTAACAGCAAGATGAGCTAGTATTGAACCACGTTAAGAATTCATCGGACCTAGTTCTGGTCGTACCCCTAGTGTAACTACCTTCGCTTGAGAAGTCACGCTGGTCAATACACATAGAAGAGTTTCATTATTAGATGTATCACATAGTGAAACAGTATTATATACTGGATGATGCTTCGAAGAAAATTTATTGTTCATAATCACATTAATTTTGATCACACGACTTTGAAATTTTAGTTTTATAGTTTTCTTTATCTTCTCCTATTTGTCAAAATGGTAGTAGAGTTTTCCATTTTCGCATGATTTTCACAAAAACACAGTCCGAGAGAGGATAAAGAGACTATGTCGACGGCTGTACGAATTTACAGACAAAACATTAACATTTGAATACACAAAGTTCAGTCATGTGAGGATTGTTCCGGTTGAGTTAGATCAATGGAAACCTAGATCTTTATTTGTGTGCAGGATTATTATTGGTAAATGCTCAAACTTTGTAAGTAGTATAGTCGTAACAAACTTTCTTATGATGACAGTTGGTAAACATTCGAACTATGCAATATATAGGTGAACTAACCCACCATTAATTTATATCTGTTATTTACACGAGTATTGCATTTGCAACTTCTTATCACTTTCTTCATCTCAAGATAAAATTTACTCATACGATAATGCGTAGTAGGTGGTGTCTCACTATTAGACACATGAGTAGAATCGCTTCATCCGTTATTAGTAAACACAAAATACATCACTCCAGAATTTATTTCAAATATGATTCATTTTGACAACTGAACCAACAAAAGAGATAAACAGGTGAATGTTTTCCATGCATAAAGCACCATGCTGTTTCAAAGGAGGAGGACATGATTCTTTTGTTGATGATGTGTCGCCGTCCTGCCTTCTATAAACATCACAGCTATGGATATGAATAAATAAACACTCCCTACCCAAGTAATCAGAGCTAACCACATCGATAGAAGGGTCTTCGTTGTCTCATTGTTGCACCGCTTTATACCTTGTCCAGTTAGATATAACACCTATCAAAGAGAAGCAAAATATGAAAACACCGAAAGTTATATGAATGACCCCTTCAGGGAGATTGTCACAAACTTCAAAATGTGAAAATCACTGTCCCGAAGTTTCTGCACGTATATTGATTCGACTGACGGTCTTCCTGCCCAGAGATTATTCACCTTATTCACATGACTTTCACAAAGTGAAGCAAGATTCAGAAATCCACATATTTTCAACATTTGAATTTTGAAAAGTGAAATCATCTCAGAATAGGAGATAGCTGTATTCATATGGGCGATGTAGTCAAAGATTCTCAAACAAAACAAAGTGCAGTGGAGGGGTAGCAACAATATGTTGAGGTACTGAATTATAGGATTACGTAATTCATGGACAACTTGGTAATACATAAATGAAATAAGTTAATTCCAGTTGGTTAGATACAAGACACATGCACGAAGACGTCTGTTTATTGATGATGTGACTAAACAAGAGTGGGAAGAAATCGAAATTCCTAAATGACAAAAAAGTACAAAATCAACCAAGGTTAAGAGAATTGTTTCATAATAGAAAGAGAAATCACACCTCCACACATGCAACATAATGCATCACTGGATGCGGAGACGTGTATTGATGATATATCCGTGTGATTACAACGGATAATTACCGATGGCATAAAGAATATATAACATGCTAAGCTCGATGAACATTCTCAAAATTCACCATCTGACTTACTAGGAGTACAGCGATAGCCAAAATTATGCCGGACAGAATAACTGCAGTTACCTGTAAGTAAGAGATGGAAAGTGATATGGACCAAGAGTGAATTAGCGATTTGTCTTTTATATTATACGAGTAGTTTTATTTTCTTCTTTCCTACTCTTTATCTGTGTTCCATGTTATCCACAGCTTGACGGCATAATATGTGCAGTGATTGGTGGTTATTGTCACGCCAGCTATCGTCAGTAGCCCCTTCAATCAGACAATCACTTAAACCATACAATTTACAGGTGGCCTGTTAGTAATTTGATGAGATTGTAAGAATATTTAGAAATCAGTCTTTATCATAGACTTGACAAATATGATATCACTTGCTTAAATACATAAGCTACACACTTATTCCGCTTGATTGTCGTACTAAGATCTAACCGCCAGCTGCTGGGCACCGCATGATTAGTCGGATGCCCGATATCCAGGATCGACTTCTTCTAGTTCTCACTTGACAGGGTGAAAAGTCAGGAAAGCTGGCTTGATACTCATCTGAAGCAGACACCATACTGATGTTATATTCTGACTCCCCATCGCTACAACTTCACCTAAAGACCTTCAACACAATGCGAACAATTTACACTATGACGATAACTTTTTGGTCTTAACGCTATCAGAACAAAATTTGTGTCATGGCACGACCTGCAGTAACACTGAACGCAAACAGTGTAGCTCACTGGGTCACTAAGATATGCAAGATAGGCTATCAGGTCAAGTTGACAGCAATCGGTCACAATTTAAATTACTGAAATGCAATAGATGGTTGATGCAATAAGAGATTTCGTCAGTTTTTCACTTGTATAGTTCGTGTATATGGAAATGTTAAGTGTCGCTTGCAATTGAGGAAAATTTGAAAGTGATGTGCAAATTCATATATTCTTCATGAATCTTGAACTGTACAGGCATGGATGAGATTGCAAAAAAGTGAAATGAACATAACTGTGATGCAACACGGAAGCTCAAAATGAAGATATAAGAAGCATAGAAGAAATATAAATCGTTCAATTCGGAGCTTCCACTTAGAGTTGATATGTCGTTTGATAACTGAGTGAAATTTGACTAATGGACAGTTCTGCTACAATACAGTGGCATGTTCTACGTTGTTGACAAATGTTCGAATAGAATGAATTGCACAACATACGACCAGTTACGCAAGAAATAGTAATTTATCGACACTATATAAACCACATGGGACAATCACATGCCAAGTTACTGCTTCAAAGAATAACACACTACTTACTTCACGCCCGGTAATTCTGAAAGCAATTAACACAGTGATACCAAGAACTGTGATTCCACCAGCGACGCCCAATAATATGATGCTCACTTTCGTACTCCGTTTCACAGTTTTGTACCCAATTATCAGTGTCAACACAGCTAGGATGATTGTAAAAGTCCATGGTGCAAAAATTGATAATCCCATGGATTTGGTGACAGCAGGTAATGCGAAAGACCATAATAAGACCTACAACATGTATAGACTGGATTGAGGCATGCAGTCGTTAGTGAGTTTATCTTGACAAATTAACTTTAAGATTTACGTGTAAAATGTGAACAAGGTGCTATTGCGGTACTCGTTATTACTTGGTTTATTATTCGGATAGAAACATGATGGATTCTGTTGTCTTCTTACAAACTAGTAATAATTTGATCAGTGTGCATTTAGAAAGTAGATGAGGCATTTTATGACAGAATCGACAGTACACGTATTTTCTTGAGGGACAACTCAAGCAAATTGAACACCCTTCATATCACAAGTTAATTACATCGCTTAAGTCCCCTCTTCAATATTCAACTAGGCACTGACTCAAACCAAGTTGAGCAGTTGGCGTATCTTGGGAAAATGTAATGCCATTTCGCCCAAATATAACTGTAGTGGGGTGATAATCACACAGGTTCTAAAGCAAAAATATAAAACAATTTGCCTTTGAAAATAACTCTCTCTCGCTTAAAGTTTGGAATATCCGCAACTTGTTCTGCAGTACTTACTGACAGGAAATTGCCTAACGCTCACACATCTTAGACTGGTGAACTGGAGTGATCAACATATGTGAAACAAATCATATATATAGGACTAATCTGTGATGAGTAGGACTGTAACATCAAGTACAAATATGCGATCCAGTCGTTGATTTATAGCGATTATTTTGTTTAATTGTCAGGGGTTCGGAAGAAACATACATGCATTGTGCAATCAAAGAGGGCAAACTCACCGAAAGTGAGATCAGTAATTCATTATATGGAAATGTCTCTCTAAGTTTCGTAATAACGAATAACATTGACACAGGAACTGCACCGAGTACACTGGAAAAGAAAAATAATAGAATTGGTTGAATAGAGAAAATCAAAACATTATGCATCGACTTTTCACAAAGAGTTATAAGCCGTTTTGATGGTGACTAGCGTTCAATCATCATATCAGTGTTGTTTCAATCGACGCAAAGTTAGTTACAACTACTTCCGGTCATTAGAGTTCATGAAGTGATAACAGAACGCATTCTGACACACCATTGAAACAAAAATTAAAGTCAAGTAACTGTTTGCTAACTTAAAATAATTTTGTAGTTCCGGTTGGGCGATTCCATTTGACCGTAGCTCTTTTTTATTCACCACGTAAAGTATAACGTAGTTATCCCTGAACACTGACGAAGCATCCTTTATAAGCTGACAGGTCAACAGTGACCAAATACTGTCTCAACCTAAATTCAACGAATTGTAATTGATACCCGTGACACACGAAGTGTCTGTCATGTGTAAGCGACCACCACTTGATTCAGGGTCGGAGGAAGCAGCGGTTATTACCAAGAATACAGTTGCATCTCGCTAACGGGTCCCAAAGAGCGAGAAATCCGGGTCCTAGATTCCACCGTCAGCCATCATTATTCAGAAGCTCAATCACAATAATCCTCATGAAACTATTCGAAAACTATTAATAAACAATCACAAATAAACAAATGTTATAAATAACATCAAATAACCAGTGGGATGTAAAAAGCGCCGTGCATACGCTGAAGCGTTCCACTAAAATCAACAGTGCGTAGATAAAGAATTACAATACAGACTTACAAATATTCTACACAGGTCGTAGTGATCATTGTTACCAAAACAAAATTAAACATGTAAAGGTGATGTACTTGATTTGAATACATGTTACACCATAAATACATAAATACGCCTATCTTTCGAAGACAGGTTTGTGCAGCAGTAGATGGGGGTTTGTATCCTATGAATAAAGCAGTGCAGATGTTTCAACAAACCTTCAGTTTTTGGTTCATGTTTACTTTCCGCGTAGTCCAAAATTGAGCTCTCTGTCTAATGAATAATCGAAATATCTAAAATATTTGAATGCAAATTGTGAAAGATAAGTGTTTTTGACACTAGGTAGATTGCACGGAATTCATTTTCGAATTATAGATGAGCACTGATTTCAAGGATGATATATCAGGCTATTACAGCTCACAAATTCTGGAAGATAGTAGAATCCAGAGATGCAATTATCTTTCTATTTCGGTTTATAGTGAACCCCTTAAATTGTATTCAATGGATTAAAATGCTCTTCAGCAAGTTGCTTTGAAGACTAATTCTACTGGTCCAGCTCAGAATGTTCACAGATGACTACCAAATGTAGATGACTTGACTGTGTTAGCATGCGTACTCTAAAAAGATTGTTAACGTAATCCTGAATCCCGTCTTTGCTTATTTTAGACTTCCTAAGTATTTTTGCATGTCTATATGAGAAATCCAACGTGAACAATTTTGGCATTGATGGTATGATATATCCTTAGACTGGGCTGCTTCTCAGTGGAAATGTTATTACCATCATTACGCCGAAGAATAACACCACTCATGAATTTCTTGAGCGTCTTGGCGAAAGTGCTGTTTGGTTTGTTACGTTCGGTTCATGGCGTGTAATCTTACATACTCTCAGCTTTATTACACATACTGACCGAAACGATCTTTCATACCTTACTCTTCATCATCCATTCACCCACTTTCAAGTGATAACCGGTTCCATAATATTTCATCATCGCTATTTCGGTGTCCAGAATCACCTATAATACAAATCTCAGATGAATAGCAATCACTCAATCAACGGTAGATTCTAAGCTATGGGTATTGGCAATAATCTGTGTAATCCATCCTTCATTATATTTCCTTGTGAGCATATCAATGCTTCAATATATTCCCGCTGTATCTTTAAACACCTGACTGTTTCTGTATTCGGGGTAAGTTGACCTCCATCAGAGTTGTAGAAGGA